CAAATAATTTTTAAATTTTCATCTTGATTTCATTATTGATCCAAAGATGATTCCAGAGTAGATTATTCAATTTCCATGTATTTATATAGTTTGAGGGTTCCTTTTGGAGTTAATTTTCAGTTTTATTCCACTGTGGTCTGAGAGAGTACTTGATATCATTTTGATTGTCTTAAATTTATTTAGACTTGTTTTGTGGCCTATCATATGATTTATCTTGGGGAATGTTCCATGGGCTAATGAAAAGAATGTATATTCTGCAGTTGTTGGGTAGAATGTTCTGTAAATATCTGTTAGGTCTGTTTGTTCTAGGGTATAGTTTAAGTTCATTGCATTATGTGCATTGTTTTTCTTTTCTTTTTTTTTTTTTTTTTTTTTGCTGTTGCTGACTTTCTGTCTTGATGACCTGTCTAGTGCTATCAGTGGAATATTGAAGTCCTCCACTATTATTGTGTTAGCATCTCTCTCATTTCTTAGGTCTGGTAGTAATCATTTTATAAATTTGGGAATTCCAGTGTTAAGTACATATATATTTAGGATTGTGATATTTTCCTGTTGGACTGATCCTTTATCATTATATAATATCCCTCTTTGTCTTTCTGAACTGTTGTTGCTTTAAAGTATGTTTTGTCTGATACAAGACTAGCTACCCCTGTTCGTTTGTGGTATCCATTTGCATGGAATATCTTTTTCCATCCTTTTACCTTAAGTTTATGTGAATCTTTGTGCATTAGGTGAGTCTCTTGAAAACAGCAGATACTTGGTTGGTGGATTTTTATCCTTTCTGCCATTCTGTATCTTTTAAGTGGCACATTTAGGCCATTTACATTCAATGTTAGTATTGAGATATGAGGTACTGTTTTGTTCATCCTACTAGTTGGTGCCTGAATACCTTGGGGTTTTTTTTTCTTTGTGTTATTGTTTTATAGGCCCTGTGAGATTTATGCTTTAAGATGGTTCTATTTTGATGTGTTTTGAGGTTTTATTTCAAGATTTAGAATTCCTTTTAGCATTTTTTAGTGATGGCTTGGTACTGGTGAATTCTGTCAGCATTTTTTTTTTTTTTTTTTTTTTTTTGTCTGCAAAATACTTAATCTGTCCTTCATTCATGAAGCTTAGTTTTGCTGGGTACAAAATTCTTGGCTGGCAATTACTTTGTTTGAGGAGGCTAAAAATATGACCCCAATTCCTTCTGGCTTGTAGGGTTTCTGCTGACAAATCTGCTATTAATCTGATAGGTTTTCCTTTATAGGTTACCTGATACTTTTGCCTTGCAGCTCTTAAGATTCTTTCCATCATCTTGACATTAGATAACCTGATGACCATGTGCCTAGGTGAAGATCTTTTTGCAGTGCATTTCATGGCTATTCTTTGAGCTTCTTGTATTTGAATGTCTAGATCACTAGTGAGACCAGGGAAATTTTCCTCAATTGTTCCCTCAAATAAGTTTTCTAGACTTTTAGATTCATTTTCTTCCTTATGAACACCAATTATTCTTGGGTTTGGCTATTTAACATAATCACAGACTTCTTGGAGGCTTTGTTCAATTTTATTAAATTATTTTTTCTTTGTCTGATTGGGCTAATTTGAAAGCCTTGTCTTCGAGCTCTGAAAGTTTCTCTTCTACTTGTTCTAGTCTATTGTTGACACTTTCCAATGCATTTTGTATTTCTATAAGTGTGTCTTTCATTTCCAGAAATTGTGATTGTTTTTCTTTATATCTATTTCTCTGGAGAATTTTTCATCCCTATTCTGTATTGTTTTTTAAATTTCTTTAAGTTGGTTTTTACCTTTCCCTGGTATCTCCATGAGTAGCTTGATCAACCTTCTGAATTCTTCATCTGGCAATTCAGAGATTTCTTCTTGGTTTGACTGCATTGCTGGCAAGCTAGTGTGGCCTTTCAGGTATGTTATCGAATCTTGTTTTGTCATATCTCCAGAATTGCTTTTCTGATTCCTTCTGATTTGGGTAAACTATTTCAGTGGAAAAACCTGGAACTCAAGGTTCAGATTCTTTCGTCCCACAGGGTGACCCCTTAATGTGGTGTCCTCCCCAAGGCCCAAGGGATGGGCCTTCCTGAGAGCTGGACTGCAATGATCATTATTGTTCTTGTGCTTCTAGCCACTCAATGGGTCTACCAGGCTCAGGGTTGGTGCTGGGAAATGTCTGTAAAGAGTCCTGTGATGTGATTCATCTTCAGGTCTCCCAGTCGTGGATACCAGCACCTCCTCTGGTAGAGGATATAGGGGAGGAAAGTATACTCTGTGAGAGTCCTTGGTTATAGATATGTTTAGTGTCCTGGCTTTATCAAATACTGGTTTTGCTAGCAGTGGTATGTTCACATGGACAGACTCAGGACCTCTGGTTAGCCAGAATGTTGCAGGCAGTGGAATTAGCTGCTGCTTTCTCCTTCCTTAGTACAGGGTTATTCTATCATTTCTAGCATGAGTTACTGTAATGTCCTGAGTTTGTTGGTCTCCAGCCAGGAGGTGGCACTTTCAAGAGAGCACAAGCTGTGATAGTAGACAGGGGAATATAAGCCTGCCCTAAGTTGGCCAGGATAAGTATTTGGGTTTGTCAGGTGATGTGTGGGGCCATCAAGATCTCAATAGTTTGTGTGTTTTGTGATCAGCTACCAGGGCAGGTTAAAAAATACCATTGGATTGGGGCAGAGTTAGGTGGGTCTGAGCTCAGACTCTCCTTGGGTGAGGCCTGCTGTGGTCACTGTGGGGTATGCGGGGTGGTTCTTGGGCCAGTGGGGTTATGTTCCAGAGGTGAATTGGCTGCCTCTGTTGCCAGGGAAGTTGGGGAAAGCCTGTGCAATAGGCTTCACCTAGCCTCCCACACAGTTGGCAAGGCCAATCTTGCTCCCACCATGCCCTGCTAACAGTGCCAGTGTCTCCAGGCAGCCAGTGCAGGGCAGTGGTTGGGGGTTGCAGGCAGATCAGACCTTGCCCCTGTTTTAAACTTCGCCACTGAGAAAGCAAGTATGGCTTTCAGGTCTCACCTGCCCCTTCCTGTCTGCCCATACTGTCAGCAGTGGCTTCTGTGCTCCTTTCTGTAGCATTTCCCATTCACCACCCAGTTCTGCTCAAAAGAGTTTGTGCCCAGTTGAAATTATTACAGAGTTCAATTGGAAGCTTCTTTCACTCTGCGACCACTCTCAAATTCTGCCAGCCACCTTCCCCAAGGGCCCCTGTGAGATGCAGTTAGGGATGGCTTCCCTGGGCTCAAGCTGGAGAATGGGAGTGCCTCCAAGGCCCCTCCCACTGCTCCTTCTACTTTTATATTTTGCGCTAAATTTGTTCCAGTTCTAGGTAAGGTTAAATCCTTCTCCCATAATCTGGATTTTCAGGTTCCCCAATGGGGTATATGTTGAGAGGCAGGATTTCCCCCTCTCACACTTTGGAAACTCACAGTTTTTTACCTGTCTTGTGGAATTTGCAGTGGCATGCTGCTGCTTTTAAAGGATCTGTAAATTCTTTCGGTTTTCCTGTTATGTTCCTGCAGTGGCTCTTGGAGCAAAAGTCAACGGTCTCCATTCATTTCTCTGTCCATCCAAGTTGGGGCTGCATGTCAGCCCTGTCTCCTATCTGCCATCTTCCTCTCCACATCTATTGTGAGTTTTTTGAGGGAAGATGCATTATCTTATTGATCATATTTTTATTCACACCATGACATATGTTTCTGAGTTTATCCGATGTATGCCACCAAATAATAATCCACATGGAAGACATATATTTGTTTACAAAATAAAAAGACCTTTTTGCTGAATGCAGTGTCTGGATGGGACACCTCTTGAAAATTCTAAAACAAGTATTTTTAGGGGGAATTTTGGGAAGACGGTCAAAACTTGAAGTGCATTTACGCTTTGACCCAGAAATTTCACTTCTGGAAATTTATTCTATAAAAAATGATTGTACAAACGCACAGAAGTGTTTGTACAAAAGCAGTTATAGAAGGAAAGGAAAGAAAGAAAGAAAGAAAGAAAAAGAAAGAAAGAAAGAAAGAAAGAAAGAAAGAAAGAAAGAAAGAAAGAAAATGATTGCACAAACGCACATGTTTGTACAAAAGCAGTTATAGTAATGGTGCTGAAAGTTGTTGTTGCTGCGCTGTTGCTGTTGCTGTTGCTGTTGCTGTTGCTGTTGCCATAAGCTGTTGCTGTTGCTGTTGCTGCTGCCAAAGAAAGAAAGAAAGAAAGAAAGAAAGAAAGAAAGAAAGAAAGAAAGAGAAAGAAAGAAAGAAAGAAAGAAAGAAAGAAAGAAAGAAAGAAAGAGGGATGTAACCTTTTTTAGTCTGTTTACTAACATCCTAATAATCTGTATAGTGAAATATTAGTAAATACTATGCAGTTACCACACAACATAAGCTGAACTGGAAAATTATTGACATTTTGTTATATGAAAAAAGGAAGCTACTGAACAATCTATACCATATATTTTCATTTGTGTAAAGAATAAAACATATGAACATGCATGTATATGTGCAGATATTCACCAAATTGCTGGTAATGACCTCTCAGGTGGAGGCAGATTCCAGCAGATTGAGGCAGCAGAGGCAAAGACTGACCTTCATCTTTCTTTGTGTCCTTCTGAGGTGTTTGAATTATTTACAATTAGTATTACTTTTACAATTCTCATGCCCATTTAAAACAATTGAGGCTGGGCACAGTGGCTTATGCCTGTAATCCTGACACTTTGGGAGACTGAGGCAGGAGGATTGCGTGAGGCCAGGAGTCTCAGACCACCCTGGGCAACATAGAGAGACCCTGTCTCTACAAAATAAATAAGTAAATAAAACATCTGAAACACTAAAGATTTACCCTTAGCTCTCTTCCATAACACCAACCTTTTCAAAAATATGCTACATCACAATTTTTTAAGAATGTCTTGAGCTCAGAACATGTCTATTCTATACTAACAAGCTAATCTTTTAGTAGCACATTGTAGAATTAAAGCCTGAGTGGATTTTGTTATTCTAACTGTTTTATCAACATTTTCAGCGATGTCTTCAATGATCAGAAATCAAGAAAAGAGGATACAGAAAGTAAAAGACCAGGAAAAAATGTTACTAAAATGACTCGTTGCTTGCCTATTCTTTACAGAGGAATGAGGCCCAATTAATTGTGGTGTTACTTGTAATTAGTGCCCTGTGTACTTTTTCTTTTTATGTGAAAATTTAATAAAAGATACCCTGTCTTGTAAACTCTATTTTGAAATAAACTATTCTTGAATCCCTCATGGTAAAACTTCAAACATCTACTAGCGAGTATTCATACATTATAACAATTAATACCTATAAAGTATTCATACGTAATAAAGTATTATAATTACCTTATAAGGTAATTTATCATAAGATATAATTTGTGCTTATTCAAATATATTGGAATAATTGTAGTTTTTTATTGTTGTTACTGGTCCCAAGACAATAGAATCTATTTTATTTTATTTTATTTTATTCTACTTAAATTTTAATTTAATTTAAGTGTTTTATTCAATCTAATTTAGCTTTAAAAAATTGCTGGGGGAAAAACTACTTTCACATGAAAGTGAAAGATGTGGTGTAATACCAAGGACAGAGGACAAACTTCAGCATACTAACAGGGACCCATTTTGTGACTATGAACTCACTGTTCTGTCAATATCAGTGAGGGTAAACAGATAACCAAACATCAGAGCCCCCAGTCAAAACTTTTACAAAAGTTTCCCTTTTTTGCTTATTAATAATAGTAAAGAAAGAAAACAATTTTGTTACTCTGTAGCAAGTTGGTAACTTCTAGATTATATCTATTCAGTCTGCTTTAATTACATTTTAATAAATGCGGGGGGTTTATATGTGAACCAAATAAAATGAGAGAAGAACAGATACAAAAATGTATCCGTTGTGTCAAAATATTAGGGACAGTGTGGCAGATGGCTGGCTGTCCAAAACAAATCTTTTTTTTTTTTTTTTTTTTGAGACGGAGTCTCGCTCTGTCGCCCAGGCTGGAGTGCAGTGGCCGGATCTCAGCTCACTGCAAGCTCCGCCTCCCGGGTTTACGCCATTCTCCTGCCTCAGCCTCCCGAGTAGCTGGGACTACAGGCGCCCGCCACCTCGCCCGGCTAGTTTTTTGTATTTTTTAGTAGAGACGGGGTTTCACCATGTTAGCCAGGATGGTCTCGATCTCCTGACCTCGTGATCCGCCCGTCTCGGCCTCCCAAAGTGCTGGGATTACAGGCTTGAGCCACCGCGCCCGGCCTCAAAACAAATCTTATGTTCCTGTTGCATAATCTGGAATTGTCACTGAGAAACAGCTGCCCAGGAAGAGTCTCTATTTCCCAATCCTGCCTCCCCTTGTATGTGGGTGTGGCCTGAGGGTTCTCATTAACAGAATGTGGACAGAGCAATATGTGGCACTTTCAGATCAAAGTATTAACATGCATGGGTGTTCTTCCTCACTTTATTTTCCCCTCCATGGGCTGGATGCAGAGGACAGGAGGGTTATAGGGGATGGTAGAGCCACAGGGCAGAAGGGAGTCTGGGTAACTGAATCTCTGCAAGGAGGGGAGCTGCCCTCCTGCCAGGAAGACTCACCACTGACAGTTACATGAGCAAGAAATCGGCCTCTGGTGCTGTAGCCTTCTTAAATGGATGGTGTCTGTTACAGCAGCTAGCAGCAGCCCTAACCTATGCAGACAACAAATGGAGTAGGGCATACGTGCTGTCACCAGAAGATCCTCACGCTTCTGCTCTCAAGGGCAATGTTAGAACTGTAAGCACATCCAATTTTAAGTGAATTTTTAAAATATAAAGTGTAATATTTATCTCTTAGATCAGTTGGCTTTACTGAAAGATTAATTATAATGTTACCAGGTAGTGATAAAATAGCCAGTAATAGAATTCTAGAGAGACTTTTACTTAAATTGTTTTACCTTTAATTTTCCTCATGGGCATGTTTGGGCATTCCACGCAGTAATGGTGAATGCCTTCTGCAGAGCTTATTAGTACAGTATAAAATTCATTCTGAAGTCTGTAAACAGTACACATGAATTTAACATAAAAGTACCATAAGCCAAAAACTGTTAAACATAGTTCTTTTAAGCCCTTTCTTATGCTATTTTCAGTTGGATTTATTCTTTTCAGCAAAGATCATCTTTTTAACAGGATTAAACATTATTTCACTGATAGATGTTAAACTTATTAAAAGTTATTTTAACATGTAAGAATTCATTTTCAAGTACAGGCATGCTGAATTTCCCTCCAGTCAAAGGTGAACTTTGAAAATAAATATTGTAAACTTTTTCTCCAAAGGGAGGAGAAAAACAGAATCTTCATGTCTTCTGTACCTTTTGATATTTGCTTTTCTGTATGTGTCTGTTATTAGTGGAGGAAAATATTTGTATTTTATTTTACATCTAGGCTATTATGATAGTAGAATTTAGACAAATAGTTCAGACATCGAATGAAGATATTAAAATCAGGTTTTATTATTTGTTCAGTTACAATAACTTAAAGTTTAAATATTTGCTGTCTTCTCAGGGCAAAGATGTACTTCTGTACCACTGTCCTGTATAAATTGTCACCCAAGATAGTGAGTGCTGTGAAAGGAGAGGGAAGAGGGTGACAGATGGAAATGATTGCTGTAGGACAGTCCATCTATCCAGATGGAGGGGGGGAGGGGAGGAGAAGTGGAAGAGAGATGGTCCTACAGATGCTCCCATGGGCAAATGATGGGTGTGTCTGTCCCTGCAGTCGGGCTGTGCCTGTACTTCACAGTCCTCTAAGAGGTGTCATTCAGGCTACCTCACTCAGCCTACCCCCACCCCCACTCATGTTCCCTTTCCTCATGGGCTGCCCCCACAACTGACTTCCATGACGACTGGTTCTCATTAGGCCCCTTGTTTCTACACCAGCCTTAGATCATTAAGACAAAGACATACTTGCTACCCTCATAGCACATAACCACACCTGGCAGATGAAAATCAAACAAAAAGCATTAGGCAGTCTTAGAGCATTATCTTGTACCCTTACTAATCACATCCAGACCAGATATTTTCTAATCACAGTTTTGTATCATGTTAACTTTTTAAGCATAAAATGTGTATGTAGTAAAAAGTGCTTCTCAAGCTGTTCCAATAGGAAGTCAGCTATGTTTGAGTGAGGCTTATTTTGCTACCATGGTTTAAAGATCACGTAAAGGCTCAAGCTTAAACCCTGGGCAGCTGGTTAATTTTTTTGCTCCATGACCACAGTTCACACCTGAAGCTTAGCCAAGTCACTCCCCAAGAGAATCAAGCCCTAAAGTAATAATGGATCAGCACAAGTCCGTCAGTCCGTGCCACAGGGAAGAAAAGTTCACACTCACTGGAAGCATTATACACACACACATATATATATTTCTGCACATTAGACAAAGGCCACTAGCAAATTTGAAACAATTCGGATGGCTGAATTTGGAGTCACACTGCCTTTATTTTATTCAGTGTGTTCCACAACCTCAGCCTCTTCCACATTGTTTTACAGCTTCTCCAATACTTTGCAAACTGAATCAGTGAATCCCCCACCATGCGTGAACCACTTTATCCTCATGGCCAGTTTCTAGGAATCTATTGCTGCATTCTTCCCAGCGGGTAACTCCCCCATTCTCTACCAACACAAACTTCCACTCCACCACTGTATCTGCAGGCAGGAAAATGGAATGAGACCAGAACCCATCCTTGTTATAGTGGAGTGGGATGTAAGTGTTCCATCTCCCAAGACACTCATGGTCTCCAGTTACTGCAATGAATTGCACATCAGTGCTTGTGACATAATGGACCTGGAACCTGACACTAACTTGCTGAGACCCTGCAGGCATCACTGCTACCCTTTCTGTTTTCCCATGCACTTGCTGATCTCTTGCTTCCACCAGAGTGCTTCTTCCATTGTCCATTCCCTGGTTTAGGCTTAACACTGGAGCCTTAAGACTGCCACCCACACCAACATCCCCCCAAGATGAGTGCCTAGACACCATTTCCCACTCCTTGCGGTCAACCCGGTCCTGACTGTTCAAATGAGAGAGACTCGCTTCTTCTTTAGCTCTGTTCATGAGCAGGTTGCTAGAAGGCAACTTCTCTGCAAAACATGTAGCTGCTTTAACAGATATCTCTTGTCCTTTTTGGAATCCCCATTCTCCCATAGGAGATTTGAGGCTTTCATTTCTTGAAACTTCAGAGTAACTCCTAGAGTTACTGGTCTCAGAGGTAGCTGAAGCTTCTGTGTCTGGAAACTGTCCAGAAGAAACATGTTCTCTTGAATTGTCACAGACTTCCCTGGAAGGATTCTGCAATCTCCATGATGCTGCTTGCAGGTTACCAAGGTCTTTGGTCTTAGAAATCAAATGTCCATTGCTTTCTTGAAGATGCTCTAAGAAATCAAAGGAAAAATGTAATAGAGTCAGGTAGTTCATTCAAGAAAAAAGTTAGGCTGAGAAAATAGATTTAGTTACTGAAAGCTTTACTACTAATCAATCTGCAATTCACAAAGTCCCCCTCTATTAAAATAAAGTACTACTTAATTAACCAGTATGCTCCCAACACTGTGCTCTAAGAATACACATGTATATCTGACAATAAAAGGGACATCCAGGAGTATCAGTGTGCTAACACAAGTGTAAATGAAGTGGTAAGCTGTAGAGGCAGACATATAACCCCGTCACAGTCCCCGGTCTCCACAGTCCAGGCCATACTGGCATGCAGCCAAGTTAAGTTGCTTGGCTCCTATCATCAAAGAATGTTGTCCAGGCTGTGGGGCAAAGGGCTGCGTGGCTACCTTACAAACCAGAAGAGTACACTTGTACTCCCAGGGGAGGCGTGCAGGGCAGGGATTGGCTCTTGCAGATCTGCGGGCAGATCAGCAGGAGCCATCGCTGTGGGGAGATACAAAGAGCAGTAGTGCATCCCTGGGCAGGAATGGAGGGAGAACTAGGGGAAGGGGCTGGTTTCTCCTTGCCAATCCCAAATGCATTAGGAACCTCCTCAACAAAACAGTGTTTTGTACCCCCTTCCATTGTAAGCACTTTTTTAAAAATGTTCTTAAAAATACAAAATCCAAGTCCTCTAAAAATGCAGTTTCCTTCCTGGCCATGCCAGTGGTAGTCCAAATAGCTCCCTACAAGATTGAAATCTCCAAATCATACATAAAATCATCACAGCTGTGGTTTTATGTGGGGGGGTGGTGGTATGGGGACAACAGTCTTGTTTCATTGTATCCTTTTTTTTTT